CCCCCCCCCCACTGACCAACAACCACCCCAACACCCCAATATTTCCCCCTTCCCTCACCTCCAGACCCCCAGCAACCCAATAACCCCCCAGCCCTCCAATATACCCCCCATCCTCCCTCCCACACAAACACCCCAATATTTCCCCCCTCCCCGACTCCCCCAGCACCCCATCAACCATCAAACACCCCAATATCTCCCCATCTCCATTCTCACCCCACCCAGCCCCCCCAATATCTCCCCCATTCCTATTCCCAGACTCTCTGGCACCTCAATATCTCCCCCCACCCCCACCTCCAGACTCCCCCAGCACCCCAACAAGGCCCAGCACCCCGGTGCCCCCCATCGCCCCACTTCCAGCCCACCCCCCCCCCCCCCCACCATCTCCCCCATCCCCACTCCCAGCCCCCCCGATGACCCCCCTATTTCCCCCCACCCCATATCTCAGGCCCCACCTCCCCGGGCGGGATGCGGAACGCCTCGGCGATCTTCCCGTACAGCTCCCTCACGTTGCTGAATCCCTCAATGCGGCCCGTGGGGCTGCCGTGCGCCAACTGCGTGTGAAACACCAACCGGGGCCGGAGCGCGGCGGGCGGCGGGGGCAACCCGGGGGGCTGCGGGCCGGCGGGGGGGGCACCGCCCGCACCCCCGTGATCTCCCCCGACTCCTCCGTCCCCCCCCGCCGTTCCCCCCCGGCCCCCCGCCGCCTCCTCGTTCTCCACCAGCGGTGCGGCCTTCTTGCGCCTGCCCAGGCCCAGCGGCATGGGGGAGGCCGGGGAGCCCCGGAAGGCGCCCCTCACCCCCTCAGTCCGCCCCGCCGGCGTCCCCCCGCGCCCGCTCCCCCGCGGTGTCGGTTCGTTCCGGGGGTTTTTGGGACCCCCCCCGGCTTGATTTCTCGGTGCCGGCGCCGCTGAGCACTGCACTCCAGCCGGGCGCTGCCGGGGTATGGAACGCCGGAAAGGGCGGGGCTCGCCTACGCGTCCGCCCAATCAGCGGCGCCGCCCTGTCCTCGTAGCCAATGGGACGCGGCGAGAGGGCGGAAGTAAAGGAGAATGTCTTCTTAACCAATAGGGTGCGGCGGGAAGGGGGAAGTGAGGGCGGAAGTGAGGGCAACTCGGCCCTCCTGGAGCGTTTCCGCCCTCCGTGCTGCGCTGGGCGCTGCGGGTGGGGTCACGGGAGCGCAGGGAGGCGGCGGAAGGGGCGCTGGGGGAGGCTGGCGTTCCTGGGTTCCCCGTGGCCCAATCCCGATCTCAGCGCCACCCCAACCCCCATCCCAATCTCAGTCCAACTCCACGCCTCATCCTCATCCCAGTCCCAATTCCCATCTCGACTGCATCCTAATCCCAATCCCCACCCCAATCCCGTGCCCCATCCTCATCCCCATCCCAATCCAATCTCAATCCCACCCACCTCCAATCCAATGCCAGTCCCCATCTCAACTTCATCCCAACCCCAACCCCATTCCTAACCCCACGCCCCATTCTCATCTCAATCCCAATTTCATCCCAATCTCAACTTCAGTTCCACCCACCTCCATCCCACCTCCATCCCCTATCCTCATCCCAATCTCAATCCAACCCCAACCCCCCCCCCAATCCGATCCCAATCCCCCTCTCAATCCCATCCTAAACCCAACCCCTGCATGGAGCTCTGAGGGCCAGCAGTGCCGTTATCAAAGGTGCCATTATCAAATCCCCCTTGCAGTTGATGCCCTCCTCCAGCTGCTTCTGGGTCCTGGAGGAACACAGCAGGCGATGGGGGCAGACCTTCCCCTTCCCCAGACCCCCGGCGTGGTGGAAGCTCGGGGTTGGGGCCACAGTACCAGGCCTGGGGGTGAAATTCCTGGCTGCAGTTTGGGTAGGAAAGGCCACAGCACTGCGCAGCGCAGTGACAGACGAGGGCAGGCATTCCCAGGCCCTGCTGCGGCTGCAGGGATTTTGTGGGATATCGTGATACCCAAAAATGGGACCGGGGGAGAACAAGAGGCACTGCAGGGAGCGCAGGCAGCCATGCCGCAGGCCCAGGCACTGGGTGCATTTGATCCCAGCCTTCCAGCTGAGCTCAACATTCATCAACTCAGCACAGGTTCCGCTGGGGCCTGCGGCAGTGCCAAAATCCCACCTGAAAGCCCCTTGGGTTCCGGTGTCAGGCTTGTCACGGAGCAGAAGAAAGGCAGGGCACGATTGACTGAAGTTACGCGCTGCCTGCTGTGCACTACAGGCAGCAGAGCCGATACCCCAAACAGCTGAGGGCACAGTGAAACCCATTTTGCCAATTTAAGGATAAAACGCAGCAAATGGGAGGTGAGAGGTGGAGATGGGGGAGGAGGGGTAACAGGAGGGAAGGGAGAGGGAGAATGGGGGAACTGAAGGGGTAAAAAGGGCAGGAAGGCGAGGGGAGGAAGGGGACCCAGAGAGCAGAGCGGAGAAGGAAGAGCGAACCTCCCCCCCAGCAGCACTGCAGGCAGATCCCAGGACTCCAAGCTTTATTCTCCCTCCCCCAACACAAAGGCACGCAGCCAGGCCTGCCTCAGCAGCTTTTTACTAATTACACAGAACTATACAGCATTTTATACAAAAAAAATAGTATTAATAATATATCTGTACAGTGTGCACGCTCCTGTTCCAGGAACAGACCTTTTTCTGGTTGTTTTTATCCCAAAGGATAAGAAGGGAGCACCCGGAGCACACCGGGGCGGGGGGAAAGGACGCCCCTCTCCCACCCCCATGGTGCCACCCCATGGGAAGGGGACAGGAGCCCCCAGGATGGTGTGGGGACACTCGGGGGGGGAGATTCCCAACACCCATGGATGCTGTGGGTCCTCCACAACCACAGAGATGTCAATGAGAATCGAGCGCTTCGCCCACGGAGGGGGTGACACTGCGGTCCCAACAGACGGAGATGGCATTGAGGAGGTGACACGGGGGTCCCCGTCACCTGAAAATGGCCGTGGAGATCCAACGGTGGTCCCCGACACACAAGAGGTGGCGATCAGGAGGTGACACGGTGGGTCTTGGTCACCTCACAGGCAGCTGGAGGTCACACTCTGGTCCCGACAGAGGTCATCAGGAGGTGACACGGTGGTCCCTGTCACCCGCAGGCAGTTGTGGAGCTCATACTGTGGTCCCAGAGGATGGAGGTGACACGTAGGAGGTGAGGTGGTGGCTTCTGTCGCCCATCAGAGGTTGTGGGGAATCACACTGCGGCCCCCAGCGCACACAGATGGGCATCAGGAGGCGACACGGTGCTCCCTGTCACCTGCAGATGCTTATGGAGATCACGCTGCGGTCCCCAAACACGGGGGATGGCATTGAGGAGGTGACACAGGGGGCTCTGTCACCCACAAGCAGTTGTGCAGGTCACGCCGTGGTCCCAACAGATGGAGATGGCCTCGAGGAGGTGACATTGTGGTGCTCCCACTGTGCTCCCAACACTCAGAGGCGCTCAGGAGGTGACGCTGTGGTCCCTGTCACCCATGGGCAGCTGTGGCAGTCACACCGCAGCCCCCAGGAGGCAGAGATGGTGGGGACATGGCAGTCCCTGCCCCCCCACGGAAGCTGGGAGGTCCCCATGGGTACAGGAGGCGCCGAGGACACACACCGTGCTTTGTGTCACCCCCAGGCAGCAGTAATGAGGTCGCAGCCCCATCCCTGTCACCCTCGCTCAGGGTCAGGGATGTCACACTTTGGTCCCAGCACACAGAGATGGCAGTAAAGCGGGGGGGGGGGGGGGGGGAGGGGGGGTCACACTTTGGCCCTCAGCAGATGGAGGTGGTGGAGAGAAGGTGACGGCGCCACCTTTGTCACCCACAGGCGGTCACAGCGCCGTCCCCTCCCCGCAGACGCAGGCAGGAGGTGACACCGCGCTCCCCAGCGGCAGCGAGGAGGTGACAAATCGGCACCTGATGCACAGGGGACCCCCGGGAGCATTTTTTGGGGAGCAGCGACCACCGCACGCCTCTCTCCACCACACGCCTCAAAGCGCCGCCCTGCTCTCCCCGACCCCACGAAAAAAAAAAAAGGAAGAGAATCTCAAAACCAAACCTCCCCCAAAAGTCCACAGCCCCAAAGCCGCTCCGCTACACAGGCAGGATCTGCTCCAGGATGGTTTTGGAGGAGGGAGGGATCCTGTCCGGGAATTTGACCTCGAACTCGATGATGAGGTCGCCGCGCTGCTCGGGGTTTTTGGGGTACGGCAGCCCCTCGCCCGGGATGCGCCGTTTGACGCCGGGTTTCAGCACGTCCTTAAAGACCATGGGGATGCTGCGGCCGTCCAGTGTCGGTGTGTTCACCGTGCAGCCGCACAGCGCCTGGATGCGAGCAGAGACAGCGGCTCAGCACGCAGAGACCCCCAACCCAGCCCCCAAACATCACCCCCCCCCCCCCCCCCAGCACTCACCTCCCGCAGGCTGATCTTGGCCGGGTAGATGATATCGGAGCCCTCGCGACGGAAAACGCTGTGGGGTTTGTCTTTGACGACAAAAACGATGTCGGCCGGGATGTTGTTGGGGGTCTGATCGCCTTCTTTGGGAAAGGTGATTTTAGTGCCTTCCTTCCAGCCCCGCTTCACCTCGATGCTCAGGATTTTGTCCTCGTTGCGCACCGTCTTCCCGTCGGGATTCAGGCGTTTGTGAGAGATCTTCATCTTCTTGGTGCAGCCCGTGTAAATCTCCTCCAAAGAAACCCTCAGGTCGTACAGCACGGGGGGGTCCTGCTTACGGCACGCGCCGTCCTGCCCCCCCCGGCCTCGGGGGAAGCTGATGTTGCCAAACCCCCCCATGTGGAAGGTGGTGAAAGCATCGTCGATGTCCATCTCCTCGTCGCCGTTGCGCTGCACAAAGAACGTATCGAAGGGGTTCCGGCCATCGAAGAACTCGGCAAACATGGCGTGGGGGTCCCCGCGGAACGTGTAGGTGAACGTGGGGCCATTGGAGCCCCCCGGCCCCGATGTCGGCGCTCCGCCCTTCAGCCCTGCGGGGTTGGGAGAAGCCCGGTTGTCACCCCCCGTCCTCACCAAGGCCCCGTCCTCACCAAGGCCCCCCATCTCCCCTCACCAAGCTCCCATCCTCACCAAACCCCCTCTTTACCCCCCCAACCCCCCATCCTCACCACCCCCATCACCCAGTGACGCCCAGGCC